TCAAGATATCGCATCTTGTGCCTACGTATTCTCATTGTCCAATGAGAAATCAGAGCGGTCATAGTTCGGGCACGAACTACAGAATAAGGATCTATTGGTTCCTTCCAGAATAAAAGAGGGTGAAGGTTCTATCCAGACCTATGATTTTAAATCCTATTGGTTCTATCTAGACCAAAAGGAGGGGAAGGTTCTATCCAGGCCTATGAGGGTATCCTATTGGTTCTATCCAGACCAAAAGGGGGAAGGTTCTATCCAGACCTATGATGTTTAAATCATATTGGTTCTATCCAGACCAAAAGGAGGGGAATGTTCTATCGAGACCTATGATGTTTAAATCCTATTGGTTCTATCCAGACCAAAAGGGGAAGAAGGTTATATCCAGACCTATGAGTTTAATGAGCTATCTATGACCCAAGGGTCAATTGAGAGACTTTCCTTTGGAAGGGAAAAGATGACGTAACTTGGATGAGAACTAAAGAGTTCCATCACTTGGGGAAAGTAAACTTAACAAAGCATAAACATTCACACATGATGAATATAAGGGATATGGTTACAACCAAGAATGATCAAGCATATTATAATAAGCAAGGATCTAAATCAGGATGAATGGTTACCACCAAAGCAAGCATTTAAGATATTACAATATTAATTATTTCAATCAAGATAGATGATCACAACCAAAACAAGTATCAAGATATTACAATATCAAGAAAGGTAAGTTCTTACAAGACTTAAGCATAAGGAAGTCACAACCACAAACATATCTTAACAAAGATGGGGATATATCTTAACAAAGATGGCAGAGGATCTTTACAAAGATAAAGATGTATCTTGACAAAGAATGATTTCTTAGAGCTTACAAGATGCCATATGTAATTACAATTATCAAGCGTAATCAAATAATGTCACAACAAATGTAAGTGAGAAGTTTAAAAACTTGACGGGGAAAACTTTCAAGTTTTAGGAGAAGATCAAACACAAATGCTTACAAGCAAGAGTTTTAGTCAAACTCAAGTACACAAGGATGCTAACAAGCCAAAATCATAACTTTAAAATAAAACTCAAAAGAGAATAAAATTAAAGTTTTGAAATGAATAAATGAGAGATAGGAAGGTGAAAACCCTAAAAACATTCATGGTAGCATGTGAAATACAAGTAGAAAGTTCACATTTATGAGTTTTAGGTTTACCTCTTGAAGCAAGCTTAAGCAATAAGAAAACCAGAGATATTGAGAGCTCTTACAAGGTCTTAAAATGTTCCTAGGTTGATGAATAAATGCTCCAAACAACCTCCAAGCAAGCTAGTGGACGAAATGCCTTGTAAATGAAGGAAAAACTCTAAAATTCAAAGATTTCAAAGACCAAATCACTCAAACCTTGTTACATAAGTGTGAAAGTGATTTTGGATAGCTTCAATACATCATATTTGATGTGTTTGAAGTGTTTCTTGAGTTGGAAAAAGTTTGGAAATGGTTTTGGAAGGTGTTTTGCAAAAATAGATTTTGAGGGATTTTGGAGACTTAGTGAGATTTTGCAAGAATTTGGTGATTGTGTAAGGGAGAGAGTTCTAGATGGTTTCTATAATGGAACTGGTGTGTTTGTGATGTAGGAAGTGAGTTCTATTTATAGTCAAAGGCCTTGGATCAAGGTATGGGCAAAAGTGAAGCAAATTGCCAATTTTAACCTTCCATCATGAAAATCTTTGAGTTTTTCAATGCAATCTTCATACTTGTCTTTAAGCCACTCTACTAAGATATTCTCCATGCCCTATATATTGTTTTCATCATGCTTGATAGGTTAGGAGGTGACTTGTTGAAGTAAAGTTGATGATTTGACAAGGGTAGCCACTTTTTTTCTCTTTCTTCACTATTCACTTTTGCAACTTGCATTAAATAATGATTTCCTTTGATCTTTGTGCCATTTTCGTGTGAATTGATATTAAAATGTTAATTATCAATTCAAACATCATAAATTAGGTTTAGCCTTTGATTAACATCGATTTGGAGAGGTTTTGGAATAAAAAAACTTATGTTGACCTAGTTTTGCGAATGTGAGTTTTTGCCAACTTGTGGATCGTGGTTCTCTCTAACCAGGAAGAGTTATGGAACCCACTTGTACTTTTTAAAAATCCCCAATTAGGTACTACAATATTTATGCTTGTTTTAGGAACTCATTCCCCTTGAAACTAGGTCAAAAACCCTTGTGTGGTTAAGGAGTTATGGCTTTGCCCTTTTCAAAACCTTAATTTCCCAACTTTTCAATTACTTATCAATTCTTGATCCAATGGTCACCAAAATTCATGAATAGATGTGATATACCATTAGGAACATAATTGCATTCAATTTTAGGTCAAAACCATGTTGGTCAATTAGTTGACTTTTCAGTCAGACGAACCGATTGATTGAAGAACTCTGAATCGACTGTTGGTGTTCTGGGTATCTTGAAGCCTTGAAGCTTCTTGAATAGACTTTACTAAGCCATAGGAACTTCATGGACCATGATCCCACCATTGGAACACTTTTTAAATCAAAAGTCAAACTACAGTTGACTTTTCCTGATCGAAAACCCTAATCGGGTATCCCGAACTGCACCGTTCTCAATTCCTGGATGACAACCTCAAATTGGATTCATACTTGACCCCATGTAGTATCCTTGATCTTGTTTATAGTTGAATCAATCCAACACATTCATTGATCAAACTACCGAAGCCTCGATTTTGACGGCACGGAACTCTGATTTATCTGTATCTTGACAAAGATAAACTTGAAATGGGTTAAGGTTAGTTAATCAAATGAATATGATCCTAAAATGATGATGAGGATCTAAGGGGTCAAAATTTAGGGTGCAATACTTATCTATCTATCTATATATATATATATATATATATATATATATATATATATATATATATATATATATATATATATATATATATATATATATATATATATATATATATATATATATATATATATATATATATATATATATATATATATATATATATATATATATATATATATATATATATATATATATATATATATATATATATATATATATATATATATATATATATATAAACAACTTTGGATAATGTCAGTAATAGATGAATATGATCTTGAAAACTCCAAAGAGGAACCCAAACTAGAAATTTGAGAAATACCTCAATTATCTATGAAGAGCACTGTGGAATTTAATTCTCGTCGGTTCTTGAAGGTTTGGAGAAGTATTGATGATCACAAAGTCATAATATTGATAAATTATGGCGCCACCCATAATTTCATTTCCAAGGAACTGGTAGAAAAATTACAATTAAAGATAAAAATTGGAGATGCACACAAAATTGAAATGTAGGGGAGTATGGATAAAAGTTTCTCTTAAAGTGTAAGAAGTCAAAAGGCAACAAGTTGATTTTAATCTTAAAACTGCTAGCACTTTCTTTTTAGGTTTAATGTCACTTAATTTAATTTCATATTTCACTTTTGTCCGTTATTTAATAAACGTTCATTTTAAGTCCTTTAAATCAAGTTCCATTAGTCACATTAGTTTTTTCCGTTAAATTTTGTTAAAATATGTTATCTTTGGCAGACATGACACTCTAATTGTTATTAATTTGGCGGACTTGGAATTGTTTTATTAATATTTTATCATTTATAATTTATTAAACATTATTTTATCAACCACACCAACTTATCTTTCTCACTTCTCATATCCTCCCTAAAATCAAGTCGTCAACTCTCTTGCTCTTTTATTCCTCTCTCTTTTTTCTCCTTCTTTGTTCGTTAGTTCTATTCCTTTTAGATTTATTTAAATCGGCCATTAGGGATTCCATGATTTCATCTTCATCTTGATTTTTTTGCTTGGTATTGGTTCTTTTATAGAAGCTCGATTCTCCAAATCCTAATTCTCTTGCTTGCAGATTCTTCTAGAAATTTTAGTCGATACATATCATTTTCTCATTGACTACTATAGATGATAACTATGACATATATAGAGGTGAAGGAGGTGGTTTAGCAGAACTGCATAGAAACTGTTTGATGAAATTCCTCAACCACTTCTTCACTTGCTCTTGATTTCTGTTTTCACTTACTGTATTCTAGCTTAGAAACTATATTTAATTTCATGACCGGTTCAAAAAATTATTTTTGAAATTATTTTTTTTCTTGTAGGCAAATGACATAGCTGGATGTGATTCTAATAAACATATCCTAGTTGTTGTTGGAGCTCAAATGCCGTATGAAGTCACGAGTGATCCAATTTATAAGGTGAGTTCCTCATGCACATTGTAGACTACTAATATGTTTTTCACTATGTTTTCATAAAGTTATGTTTATTTTATATTTATTGGTGTAAGCTAATTTATTTATTTTTCTAACTTTAATGTTTTGGAGGTATAACTTGATGATACTAATAGTTTAATTCCCTTATATATGCCTTTCAATTTTCTAAGAATAGTTCTTGTTTTTGTGTGTTAGAATATTGGGACATTCTTTATGAGCATTGTAAACTCTTCACACATCTATGCAATGGGAGGAATAATTATTGAGGATAATAATCAATCGATTCCCTTATATATGGCTTTTAATTTTTTCGTACCTTTATTTTTACATGATAAACAGTTCTAGATTTATTTTTTAAGTTCTTTATCTCAACTATTATGCATGAGTGGCCCAAGTAGAATGGCAGATGCCCTGTCAACAGAGAGTGAAGAATCATGCACAACCAGTTTTAGATTTCTTTCTGAGGTATTTCATCTCAACTATTATGCAGGAGTGATCCAAAGAAAATGGCATACGCCCTGTCCATAAAGAGTGAAGAAACGTGCATAACTAGTTCTAGATTTCTTTCGGAATTCTTTTATCTCATCTATTATTCAGGATGATCTAAAGAGAATGGAAGATACCCTATTTACAGAGAGTGAAGAATCATGCACAACTAGTTCTAGATTTCTTTCTGAAGTCTTTTATCTCAACTATTGTGCAGGAGTGATCCAAAAGAATGGCATATGCCCTGTCAACAGAGAGTGAAGAATCGTACATAACTTATAATATGTTGAAGGTACAACCAAATGAACCAATCACTCATTATTCTATTAGTTTGTCATGTATTCCTAGAGAATATTTTCAGAGTTTCTTTGAATAGTTGGAAGAAGGAAGATTTATGAACTATGCTTGAATGTGTTCCTATGTCAGTATAGTATAATACTTCAGGGATGATTCATTGCTTATGTCTGTTGAAGTATTCATGTTCTCAAATATTGATTTTAGGTTACACGCCACCTATTTAGATGGACGAAAGAAGTCTCGAATGTAGATTATTATGAGCGTGCTTTGACAAATGGTGTATTCGGCGTTCAAAAAGGAACAAATTTTGGGTTTTATTTTTTTATGTTCTGTTGTTGTGTGAGTGATTACTCTATTTTAAGAAGATTTGTTGATTATTGTGATAGTAATGTGATGCTTTAATTTTTTAAACATTTTTAACAATTTGTAAAGGTTTTTAACCTTCGAAAACAATACTTCTTTGTCATATCCCAAATTTGTCCAAGCATTTTAAATTTTTAAACAACCAGTTTTTTTTTTTTGTTTTGTACAAAATAAAATTTCAGTTTTGCAGACAGAAATGTTGAATTAATTTCTTAATCGTGTGTAAAATTAGGGAACATTGTTTTCAGGTTTTGGCCTACAACTGTCTGTTTTATTGATCTACATTATGCGTAGTTTAATTTTGTGTGCTCATTTTATTTTTCTGTATTTGTGCGCGTTTGCATCTTGATCAGTTTGAGCGTTTTTCATTAGAGCATTTTTAACATCAATATTTGATATATGGTTGCATGTTTTACTGAGCTATATTTCTCGTAAATTATTTTAGTGCATTCATTTTTTTTTCCGGCATGTTTGCGGGTCTGCATTTTGCTCGATTTAATTCCTTTTTATTTCATTCTTTTTAAATAAAATAAATAATTGAGGATAATAAATAGAGTTTAAAATAAAATAATTACATTGTTTTATTTGTTTTTATTAAAATTATGTGATTTTATTTTATCAAATTTAAGACTCATTTTGATCACTCAATAATATCCAAGGGTAGAGTGGAAATTAAATAAAATGAGAAACCCTACCATAGCTAGTATAAATGCTAACTAGTGAAGGCCAAAAAAATTAATCACCCACCATCATCTCTCAACTGATAGGGTTAATTATGACTTGGTTAGTTTGTTAGAATAAATATCCTACTTTATAGGGCTGTTAGCACAGCACTTGGATACATTTTGATTTAGTCTTTATTAGTTTCTATTTTCTAGCTAAGTTTTAGGATAGTCAGTTTGTGTAATCAGCTATATATTAGCTTTTCTATTATTCAATAAATCAAGTCAGTTATCAGAGTTTCCTAACAATCTGGTATCAGAGCTTCATATTGAGAAAAAAAGGAGAGAGAGTTCGTAAGCAATGGCTGAAGGAAATAGTGGTTTTTCTCAACCCTCTATTCCGAAATACGATGGTGATTATGACCACTGGAGCATGGTCATGAAGAATCTACTCCGATCCAAGGAGTACTAGAGTGTTGTGGAATCTGGCTATTCACAACCAGGTGCTGATGAAGTGTTAACAGCATCACAAAAGAAGACACTGGAGGAAGCGCAACTCAAAGATCTAAAGGCGAAGAATTACTTGTTTCAATCTCTTGACAAGTCAATTCTTAAAACAATCACTCAGAAGGAGACATCCAAGCAACTTTGGGATTCCATGAAGATGAAATGTCAAGGGAATGCTCGAGTTCAAAGGGCTCAACTCAACCGCCTTCGCAGAGAGTTTGAGGTCTTAGCTATGAAACAAGGTGAATCAATCAGTGTTTATTTTAGCCGAGTGATGATGATCGCAAATGATATGAGAAATTATGGAGAGGATATGGCTGATATCAAGATTGTAGAGAAGATCTTGAGAACCCTCACTGAAAAATGGAACTATATAGTTTGTTCCATAGAAGAGTCAAAGGACATTGATGAACTCTCTGTTGATGCCTTGCAGAGTTCTCTTCTTGTCCATGAGCAAAAGTTTAAGAAAGATGGAGACGAAGAACATGCTCTCAAGGTGTCCTATGATGAAAGACATGGTGGAAGAGGACGAGGAAGAAGCACTTTCAGAGGAGGAAGAGGCAGAGGCAGGGGTCGGCAAAGTTACAACAGGGCGACCGTTGAATGCTACACATGCCATCAGCTAGGACACTATCAGTACGAGTGTCCAAATTTAGGGAAGCAAGCAAACTATGCTGAGCTTGAAGAATCAGAAGAGATGCTGCTTATGGCATATGTTGAATCTTCTAGAATTAATCAACAAGATGTGTGGTTTCTGGACACCGGATGCAGCAACCATATGTGCGGTGATTCTTCACTATTCATGGATATGGAGAATGGATTCAAAAGAAATGTCAGATTGGGCAACCATACAACAATGAGTGTTGTTGGAAAAGGAAGTGTGAGGTTAGTTTTGGAAGGAGTTTATCACACTGTCAAAGATGTGTTCTACGTGCCAGACTTAAAGAACAATCTTCTTAGCATTGGACAGCTACAAGAGAAAGGTCTTGTTGTTGTGATAAAGGACAATCAATGTCGGATCTACCATCCTACAAAGGGTCTTGTCATTACCAGCAAAATGACAGCCAACAGGATGTTTGTGTTGCTCACAAATACACCTTGTTGCAAGCAGGAAATGAGTGAAGAGTGCTTTCAAGCTGATGTCCAAGATCTAGCTCAACTTTGGCACCGTAGATATGGTCATCTAAGCTATACAGGCTTGAAAACTCTGAAAAACAAGGAAATGGTGAAAGGGCTGCCACATTTTGCTGAAATCAATGTTGTGTGCACTGGCTGTTTAAAAGGGAAGCAACATCGAGAAACTATTCTAAAGAAGGCGATATGGAGAGCTTCAGAAAAACCAGAGCTGATTCATTCTGACATTTGTGGTCCAATCTCTCCTACTTCCAACGGACAAAAAAGGTATCTCATTTGTTTCATTGATGATTTTAGTAGAAAAGCTTGAGTGTATTTTCTTACATATAAGTCCGATGCGTTTAGTGTCTTTAAGCAATTCAGAACCTGTGTAGAGAAAGCATCTGGTTTGTCCATTAAATGCTTAAGAACAGATCGTGGAGGTGAATTTACATCAAATGAGTTCAAAGAATATTGTAGAGAGAATGACATTAAGAGGCAGTTAACCACAGTTTACACACCTCAGCAAAATGGTGTTGCAGAATGAAGAAACAGAACTGTAATGAATATGGTGAGATGTCTGCTGGCTGAGAAAGATGTGCCGAGAAATTTCTGGCCAGAAGCTGTGAATTGGGCCTTCTATGTTCTAAATAGATGTCCAACATCATCACTCAAGGACATGACCCCTGAAGAAGCTTAGAGTGGGGTGAAACCTTCAGTTGAACACTTCAAAGTGTTTGGTTCTGTAGCTCATGCTCACGTCCCTGATGCTAGACGAACTAAACTGGATGATAAAAGTCGCAGTTATGTTCTGTTTGGGGTGAGTGCAGAATCCAAGGGATATAAACTCTATGATCCTTTGAACAAGAAATTCATAATCAGTAGGGATGTTGTCTTTGAGGAAGAAAAGAAGTGGAATTGGGATGAAAGTTACCAAGATTTTATTAGACTTGATCTAGAGGTGGGAGAAGAAAATGATGAAAACATCCAACAAAATCATGACACACAAAGCAACGAAGAAGAAGAAAAGGAGATGACAAGTGATACAATTGAGGCTGTTGTACCTAGTGCCAATCCTACAACTTCTAATGCAAGAGAAATCAGAGTTAGAAGAGCACCAATATGGATGAATGATTATGTTATTGGTGAAGATGTTATTGGTGAAGAAGAAGAAGATGGTCAAGTACATTTTGCTTTCTTTGCTAGCTCTGATCCAATCAGTTTCGAAGAGGCAGTGCAAAGTGAAAAATGGAGACAAGCAATGGATGATGAAATAAGTACAATCGAGAAGAACGGGACATGGCAGCTAACTGATTTGCCAAGAGGTGCTAAAACCATAGGAGTCAAATGGGTATACAAGACCAAATTGAATCAGCTGGGAGAAATTGAAAAATATAAAGCTCGCTTAGTGGCGAAAGGATATGCTCAGCAACAAGGGGTTGATTATGATGAAGTGTATGCTCCTGTAGCTCGTATGGACACTATACGTATGATCATTGCTCTTGCAGCTCAAAGAAGTTGGATTATTTATCAACTTGATGTGAAATCTGCCTTTCTCCAAGGAGAATTATCGGAAGAGGTCTATGTTGAACAACCTAAGGGTTATGAGTTGAAGGATGAAGAAAGGAAGGTCTACAAGCTTAACAAAGCTTTATATGGACTCAAGCAAGCACCGCGAGCATGGTTCAGTCGAATAGAGTCATACTTCAAGCAGACAGGATTCGAGAAGGATGCAAGTGAACAAACATTATTTACTAAAGTGAATAAACAAGGTAACTTCTTAATTGTTAGCCTATATGTTGATGATTTGATCTATACTGGTAATGATAGTGCTATGATGAGAGAGTTCAAACAGTCCATGATGAAGGAGTTTGACATGTCTGACTTGGAAAGGATAAAATACATTCTTGGTATAGAAGTATTACAGTTTGATGAAGGGATATTTATCAGCCAAAAGAAGTATGTGAAAGATATGTTGAAGAAATTTGGAATGGAAGCAAGCAATTCTGTGCAGAATCCAATGGTTCCAGGTTTCAAAATTCACAAAGATGAAGATGGTGTGAAAGTGAATAGTTCAGTCTACAAGCAGCTGGTTGGAAGCATGATTTATCTGACAACTACAAGACCTGATGTGATGTATTCAGTTAGCCTTATTAGTAGATACATGTCAAATCCAACTGAGCTTCATCTTATGGCAGCTAAAAGGATATTAAGGTATTTACAAGGAACCACTAGCTATGGGATTCTCTATAGGAAGACAGGAAATACAGAGCTGATCGGATTCACCGACATTGATTATGCTGGAAGTATGGAGGACAGAAAGAGTACATCCGAGTATGCATTTATTCTGAGCAATGCAACTGTAGCATGGTCTTCAAGGAAACAACCTATTGTCGCACTGAGCACCACAGAAGCAGAATTTGTAGCTGCTGCAGCTTGCACATGTCAAATGATATGGATGAAAAGAGTGTTGAAGAAGCTTGGCTATAATGGCAGTAGCAGTCCCGTTATATTTTGCGACAATAGTTCAACAATTAAGCTATCCAAAAACCCTGTGATGCACGGAAAGAGTAAACACATTGATGTAAGGTTCCACTTCCTGTGTGATATGGTGAATGAAGGAGCTGTACAACTGAAGTTTTGTGGCACTGAACAACAGATAGCAGACATTTTCACTAAGCCTCTCAAGTTGAAGACATTTCAGCATCTTAGGAAGAAACTTGGAGTATGTGATGCACCTAAGTTAAACTAGTATAC